GTCCGGAGCCTGTGCTCCGCAACGGGAGAGGCCACAACAGTGAGAGGCCAGCATACCGCAAAAAAAAAAAAATATATATATATATATATATATATCATTCACTTACTTATTATTGTAGTCAAATATAGTACATATCACTTCTTCAAAGTATTAAATGATTTATTCAAAATAATATAGTTGAGGGTCTTCCCTGGTGGTCCAGTGGTTAAGAATCGGCGCTTCCACTACAGGGGGCGTGGGTTCGATCCCTGGTCGGGGAACTAAGATCCCACTGGCCACGCGGTGCAGCCAAAAAAAACCAAAAAAAGAAAAAAACGAAATAATACACTTGAAAGGCACTTAATTTAAAAGACCCCTCTATCCTACCCTTCCCCATCTCACCTTTCAGGTCCTGTTCGTTAAAGGCAACCACCTTCAACCCTTACATGTTTTCCCCTGGTACTTACTACCACCCTTCTCAATGAGAAACTTATACTGACATTTCTTGATTTATCAAGTTTAGAATGTTTATTGGCTCATTTCTCCCACACGAACATCACTCCCCATTACCCTCCTCCTATCTCTCCAACATCATTACATAGCACTTTGAGAGTGGAAAATGTTTGCGTTAGGTTTTTCTTACAACCACACAAATATTGTTTACTGCCAAACCAAGTACATGCACTCTGACTATGCCTCCTTTCCTATACGACCCTTTGCTTTTCCTAGAATTAATAACTAGCTTGGTTTTTTTATGTCTCTGGTTTTCTTACTATTGTTTCTAAGTAATTCTCCAAGTGCTCTGACATCTCTGCCATAGGCCTATCAACAAAATGTTCTCTACATTCAAAGAATCAGTTTCATCTATTTCCCAGAGACCTCCTCCCAGAGTCTGTTTTCTTGCTCCAATCTGGACAAGTTGCTCTTTGGGGCCTGCTACACAGCTGTCATTTTGAATCATCTCTTGGCCATTGTCCTTGGAATTCCCTTTATTTTCGCCCATTTAAAATCTCCCCTTCCCTGGAGTCTTGTCCTTCTCGTTCTCACTTCACTCTATCATTTTGTTGGAACACATTTCCAAAAGCTTACGAAAAGAGGGTAAATGGGAGGCAATTTTTTTCAAGTCTCTGCATGCCCAAAAATACTGTTCTAACCTCACTCCTCAAGGATAGTTTCTCTCATCCCTGCCTTCTTCAATTACTACGTGTGAGCTCCCCCAGAAAGGACATGAAGTTGGAGGAGGCGGCTCTCTGTAGCTGAGGCTGATCCCAAAGAAGCTGACAAGCAGAGTCTGTCTCCAGGTCATGCTCCCAGCAGCTGGACAGCAAGTCCTTCCTTGAAGAGGATCTGGACCATCTCCAGGGCCCATCCTTACCGTATGAGTCTGCTATGGCTGCTATAACAAATTAGCACGAACATAGTGGCTAAAAACAACACAAATTTATTATCTTACAGTTCAGAAGACTGCAAGTTCAAAAATATCTTGCTGAGCTAGTGAAGGTGTTGGCAGGGTTTTGCTCCTTCTGGAGATTCTAGAGGAGAATACATTTCCTTGACTTTTCTGCCTGCTAAAGACTGCCCACAATTCTTGGCTTGTGGCCCCTGGCCAGCAATCACATCACTCTGACCTCTGCTTCCAGTGTCACATCCTTCTCTAACTCCTCTGCCTCCCTCTCTCACTTATAAGGACTCTTGTGATTACACTGGGCACACTGGGATAATCTAGGATAATCTCCGCATCGCAAGATCCTTAATTTAATCATATCTGTGAAGTCCCGCTTGCCATGTCAGGTAACATAGTCACAGGTTCCGGGGATTAGGAAGTGGACATCTTTGGGAGGCCATTATCCTGCCTACCAAAGTCACCAAAGAGACGGATATTCTAGAGTAGTTGGTGAGATTAACACCAAACAGATACAATGAACTTGATGCCTACATTTGTGTACAATAACACCTCGCGTGGATGGAGAGCTTACTCTATCCCAAGCACTGTGGTAAGTGCCTGACATGAATATCTTATTTATTTCTCTCAACGGTTCTCTGAGGCAGGCACTATTTTTACAATCCTTATTTTGCAGATGAGCGAGAGGCCCAAAAAGATTGAGCTATTCGCCTCTGGTCAAACAGCCGGTGAGTGGAAGACTCCTTATTCAAATCCAGGTCTGCCTGACTCCAAAGCTGGTGCCCTTGACCATGTCTCTCTAATCCTTCTTTGCTTGTTGCTAATTTAGGTCTTTAGGCTGCTAAACACGACTGCCTCTCTTCACCCTATGTGCCAGCTCAGGGTGGCACACGACGAGGGCTCAATAAATATTTGTTGAATTTAATTCCCAAAAAAGTCATCTCTTGCTGGTTTCCTCATAACTTTTAGGGCATTCCCAATTCCCATATTCTCCTTCTTGCATCTAATACACTTTTGGGGGGGGGGTTGTGTGTTTTGGCCACACCTCGCGGCATGTGGGATTTTAGTTCCACAACCAGGGACCGAACCTGCACCCCCTGCAGTGGAAGCACACAGTCTTCACCACTGGACCACCAGGGAAGTCCCCGATACACTTTTTTAAAAAAATAAATTTATTTATTTTATTTATTTACTTTTGGCTGCTTTGGTTCTTTGTTACTGTGCGCGGGCTTTCTCTAGTTGCGGCGAGCGGGGGCTACTCTTCGCTGCAGTGCGCGGGCTTCTCATTGCAGTGGCTTCTCTTGTTGCAGAGCACGGGCTCTAGGCACATGGGCTTCAGTAGTTGTGGCACGTGGGCTCAGTAGTTGCAGCTCACGGGCTCTAGAGCACAGGCTCAGTAGTTGCGGGGCACAGGCTTAGTTGCTGCACAGCACGTGGGATCTTCCCGGACCAGGGATCAAACCCGTGTCCCCTGCATTGGCAGGCGGATTCTTAACCACTGTGCCACCAGGGAAACCCTCCGATACACTTTTATTGGGCATTTATGTGCTGCCCACTGCAGAAATTCAAAGATAAATAGAACACGTGGTTTACTTCCGGGGAGCTCACTTTCCAGTGAGGGGATCATGATAGTGACCTAGGAGTAATTTTAAGTTTTTCTCTCTTTTCATCTCTTTAGACAATTAGCGGTGAATGTGAAAAAAGGAGATATCATTGTTATTGTTTTCCCCCAACTATTGAGGATAGAAACCAGAAACACCAGAAGAGGAGGCTGGTAGCTCTTTCAGACTGTTTTTCACGTTAATACATATTTTTACTATGCACACAAGTACAGGGGCAGTTTTAGGTTTTGTTTCCCTTTTTGAAAAAATGGGAGCATGGTCTGCAGATTATTCTTACGCTTGCTTTTCCATTTAGGAAGGCACGATAGATATACTGCCAAGCTCACTTCCTCTTAACTGTTTCATTTCCCTATTGATGCTCATTAAAATTGTTTCAAGTGTTCCCCCCCTCCCCAAACTTGCAGGATAGGAACTTCCTTTTGCAGCTCAAGTCCTGGTTACAACCTTGAGGAATGACAGCTCTACCTTTTACTAAACCATTGGGCACCTCGTCCCCAGAATGATCTTTCCAAAGCATGAGTTTGATGATCTCTCCTCTCCCAAATTTCCCCAAGGCCCTGCAGGATAAATCCAAATCCCAACTGCCTGGCCTAGCGTGAAGATTTTCAGAAGCTGGCCCCTCGTCCAGAATCAGCCTTGAGTGGTGACGGTCTACACACACATTCCACACCCCCGTGGGCTTTCTTCATTCCGCCTTAGTGGTCTTCTTGCAGACTCTCCACTGCACAAGCCTGTCTGGATCCAGGTAAATTTTACTCATTCTTCAGTTTCTGCTGAAACATCACTTCCTCAGGGTCCTTCCTGGCTCCTCCCAGCCTGGGGTCTCCCTTTACTCTCTTTCACCCTGGGGACGTGCACCACACTAGTAATTAACTTGCTCAGTGTCTGTGTTGCCTGCCCTTCTCTCTCATCCACTCGAGGGTCTTTCTCCTTTACCTGCTGTACCTCCAAAGCATAGCACAGTTGGTGGCCCACTGCGGTTGTCAATAAATGTTTGCTGAAAGGGTGACGAGGAATGACTCACGGGGAGATTTTACTGCTTCTAGTTAATACACAAATGCGTAGGTACAGTCTCACGTTGAATATTTGGTTCCACTGACAGTGATAAAAAAAGAGAAAGACCGCTTACCAAAATACAGGCACCCTACTTTCTTTTTTAAAAGTAACTTATCTATTTTAAGAGTCGTTCTTTTCTTGTGGTTTTTATTCATTTATTTATGGCTTTAATCACTGTGATCCAATTTATTTTTTTTAATTTTATTTTAAAATTAGTCAGTTTTATTTTACTAATTAATTTTTATTGAAATATAATTGATTTACAATATTATATTAGTTTCAGCTGTACAACACAGTGATTCAATATTTTTACAGATTATACTCCAGTTAAACTTATTACCAAATAATGGCTATATTTCCCTGTGCTGTACAAATAGATGTGATCCAATTTATTTTGACAGTCTTTAAAAATATAATTATCTGAAGCAATTGGCAACCTATCTTGCTGTTTATTGTTTCTTTTGTCTCTTGCTCATGGTGAATTGTTTCCTTGTGTGTTTTGTAATTTCAAAACGAGTTGATCTTTATTTGTGGGAATTCTGTATGTCAAGGCTGAAGGTTTGTCCTTCCAGAGCTTGCGTTTAGCTACTTTCTTCGCTTGGCGGTTCCCCACAGTATAAATTAAAACCCAAACCTAAGTGAGTACAGTCGTATTGTGACAAATTCAGAGGGGACATTTCTTGCCCACCCAGGCCCACCTAAGGAGAGATAAACATCCGAGTTATTGCCCTAGGCTGGGTGGGCAGATTTTTCTAGAGCCCCACTCCCTTCCATAAGAGTGGAGCTCTTTGAGGGTCCTTGTTTGTGTGGAGGCCATAGTTCCAATTCCCCCCAAACTTTGTCCCCTCTGTCCTTTGGTTTGTTTGTTTGGCTGGTTGGTTTTGGGGTGTTTTTTTTTCTTTTTTTTTTTTGGCCGTGCTGCACATCTTGTGGGACCTTAGTTCCCCAACCAGGGATTGAACCTGGGTCCTCTGCAATGAGAGTGCAGAGTCCTAACCACTGGACTGCCAGGGAACTCCCCCCTCTTTCCTTTGGCACCTTTAAAAGTCAAAGACCTCCTCCCACTACTCTGGATTTCATACCCTTTTTTTCTGACTACAGAAGATTATCTCTATTTTCTCCAGTATTTCTAGTTGACTATCAAATGTGGGAAAGTTTTTAGACTATCTAGTCCAGAATATTGCCCAAAATGGAAACCCAGTGGACTAGTTTTCAGATCTTTCCCTCATTCTGTATGCATGAGTCTATTTTTTTAAGTCACTTTGCTCTCCTCTTATTTTCTGTATATTTACCACCTCTCTCCTGTTCTCTTACATTTACAAGTTACATTACAGAGCAAGATGCCTTATGCTAATAATTTCTCAGTATAAACTATTCTTTTTTTCCCTTAGTATTTGGCTCTTATTATTGGCTCTTTTTCAGCTCCTATCCTATCTTTTTTTTTGTAATTTCCTAGTGAACAGGCACCAAATATAGTTAGTATTTGATCTATATGTCACCTGCTAATTTAAGTGCTCTTCTTTAAAAAAAAAAAAAAATCTAACTCAGTCTTGCAGATAAAAAAAAATCTTGAGGACAAAACTGCTAGCAATGTTTCCATAAAAACTGTTGTCAAAAGACTGGCAAACTTGGTAACACTAGGTAGCTAAGTTTTTAAAAATTCAGTACTAGTAATGCAAGTCACATCTACAATTTGAATGAAAATTCTAACTTGCTTCAAACTTATTTTAGGCCTAGATAAATTACTTTTGGTCTTAGATCTAGGAATATATGCATATAAACATTCTATTGCTACACAAGTACACTGTGTACTTTATACAGATAATACTTGTAGCCTAGGATGCGGCAGCAATATTTGTAATACTGTTCATCCCCACTCATAGCTTACTTGGAACTTCTCCTTAACGTAATACCAAGTAAGAATTAGATAAGTATTAAAGTGACTACTTTTGTCATTGCTCTAGTCAAGGTTACACGTTAGCTAACTTAGAAATAAGTCACTCTCCGTGACAGAAACATCAGCCACTGAAATAGTGTATAAGCACAGTCACAAAGCTTTTTCAAAAGGACTTTTAAAATTTCTCTTAGGGAATTCCCTGGCGGTCCAATGGTTAAGACTCCACCCTTCCAATGCAGGGGGTGCAGGTTTGATCCCCGGTCAGGGAACTAAGATCCTGCAAGCTGGGTTGCGGTCAAAAAAAAAAAAGAAAGAAAGAAAAAAAATTCTCTTAGTTATGTCAGCTTTGGTTAATGAATATTCTACCTGGCTTTTCTTCTCAGCCTCCAAGAAAGTTTAAAGAGCTGGTAAATCCCAATTTTAAGGATTTGGAGAATTGTCACTGTAGCACTTATCTATTGCTGCATGACAGACCACACCTAAATGCAATGGCTTAAAATAACAATCGTTTAATTTGTTCCTGAGTCTGTGGGTCAGGAACTCTGTCAGGGGTCAGAGGGGCAGTTCATCTGTGTTCCCTGCAGCGCCGGCTGGGGTGCATCCCTGTGGGGCTGGAGGACCCACGCTGGTCTCACTCACTGGGCTGGTGCTTCAGCTGGAATGGCTTGAACGACCGGGGACTGCATGGCTGGGCCTCCTTCCTTGCGGGGCCGGCTGGACTCCCTAGTGTGCATGGGGCCTCCTAGCTGTCAGCTGAGTTCCCGGAGTCCCCTGCCTTGGCCTCTTTCTCCAGCAGGACAGCCTGGACTTCTAGACAGGGCAGATGGTGTCCCACTCTGGTTAAAGTGGAAACTTCCAGGCTTCAGCTTGGAAGTCCCAGAATAGTATTTCCACCAGATTCTGCCACATTCCATTGGTCAAAGCAAGTCAAAGGCCAGCCTCCAAGGAGTGAAGAAATAGATTCCACCTCTTGAGAGGGGAAGAGGCCCCCATCCACAGGGACAGGAGGAATTGTTGGCAGCCATCTTTGCAGGCAATCTACTGCAGTTGCTTTACCCAACTAAATACATAGCACCCATTCTGTTTATAAAGTTGCTACAAATCAAAGGGGGAAGTTTATTAACGACAGTTTAGGATAACTTAATAACTAGTATTAGGATAGTTTATAATACTTAGACTAAAGATGTCAAGGTATTTTCCTAATATAAATACGCTTAGGGTTGCGTTTAAATGTCACTGTCATTATTCAGCACTTAACAGTTTCAAGTGAGAAGGCACAATTTCACTTGATTAACATTAAAGCTTAAGTTAAATTCAACTCCCCTTAGGATCTGGGGGACTACCTTTATTTATTTATTTGCTTGTTTATTTTCTAAACAGCAATTTTTTTTTTTTTTTGCAGTATGCGGCCTCTCACTGTTGTGGCCTCTCCCGTTGCGGAGCACAGGCTCCGGATGCGCAGGCTCAGCGGCCATGGCTCACGGGCCCAGTCGCTCCGTGTCATGTGGGATCCTCCCGGATCGGGGCACGAACCCACGTCTCCTGCATCGGCAGGTGGACTCTCAACCACTGCGCCACCAGGGAAGCCCCAGCCTTCAGTTCTTTACATAGTCTGTTGGAATAGATGCTCTTTGTACAGACTGGAATGATCCCTTTGAAGATGGACCGTTCTGTTGATAATAGTGTCCTTTCCCTCAGCATACAACTCAGCCACCCAGAACTTTTGTCGTTCCTCCCAGTGCCACAGAGTATGAAGTTTAGACTTTCCTGTGCCCCCTCCTTCCAAGTCCTCCCGCCTCCTCCTCCTTACCCACTACTGCTCCACATGAGGCCCAGGACCCATAGTATGGGCATTAGCAGGGAGCTTGTTAGAAAGGCAGAGTCTCTGGACCCACTCCAGACCTCCTGAATCAGACTTCCATTGTAACAAGTTCTCCAGGCAGTTTGTGTGCACGTTTCAGTTGATAAGCTGGCTTGCATAATATATCTCTCTCCAGCCATCTTGCTCCCCACAGCTGCTCTGCATCCCGAGTGTGGATCTTCAGGGAGCCTGGCCACTCCTCTCTCACACGCACTCGCACCCTTTCCCCTCTAAGGGCATGGAATCTTGATCATTCACTCAAGTCCCTAAGATCCTAGGCATCTTAGCTCCCTGGAGCAAGGCAAGCTCAGCACCCCAGGACTCTAAGATTTAATTGCTTTGCGGGAAAAACATCCCCCTTAGTCATTTGTGATGAGTCTAGAGTAGAAAATAAGTCCGGTTTATTCTCAATCATATTATTCTGGCACATTAATAATAGGCCCTCCAGGCTGGTAAAATTTTAAAGATATTTCTTCTTCTGGAATCCTTCCTAATTCTCCCTACTTGGAGTCTAGCGTCATTGCCTTGGGCTAGAATCTCCGGGGTCATTGGGATTTAAAAAGAGAGAAGGGTGTTAATAAAGAGGTGACAGAAGTGTAGTTACACTGGCCTGGCTTTGTTCGGCATTGGTCCAGCCGTGAACCATACTGCCTTTGGGTTTGTGAGACTGAAAAGGCAGAGGCAAAAACGCAGCTGGGTGTGTACCTGTCGTTAAGATCTGTGTGCGGAACAAGGGGACTGTCGACTACCCACTCCCATCATAGTAGGGGCCCTGGGGGATGTAAGGAAGTGAGAAATAGACCTTAATACTGGCAAAAGACCACAGATTCAATTCGAGGACGAAGAGTAATGAGAAAATGCAAGTTACTGTCATTATTTACGTGGCATGGCAGAGTTACACACACTTTATTACACAGTGCATGCTACACAGAGAACTGCTATTTATAGACATTTCATCCCATTCCTCCAATGCCCCTAAACTCACTCTTTCACAGTATTTGGCCCAAGTTCAATGGCAATGTGATTTTTTAAAAAAAGTGTATTTAAAATCAATGTAATGTTGAAAAGTACAGCAAGAGAGTAGTACTGAACACTGAAGAGCCAAGGCTGCCCCAAGTCAGTCTGGAGGAGGATTTTTAAATCTGAAAATATTTTAAGTGTTTCAAAGATATAGATGGTTTATATATATATATATAAACAATGTATCTTTTTATTATGAATTTTTTTAACATTTTCATTTTCAACCAGTGGCTTTTGTACTACTTCAGACAATGCCTTAGAGTCTTTTTTTTTTTTGGCTGTGCTGGGTCTTAGTTGCAGCCTATGGGCTTCTTCAAAATATATTTTTAAAAATTCTTTTGACTTAGAAGAAAGTGTGTTTTTTAAAAAGGGAGGCACCTTAGAATTAAATCTTGTTCTAAACTGAAGAGACTTGGCAGATGTGCAGGAAATTAAAATATCTGGCATGTTCATGAATATGAGGACTGGACAACTGTATCTTGAAAAAGTCTTGAAATTTAAAGGTCATTTAAAGTACAGATTTAAAAAACATTTTACAGAACTAAATTTCTTAGTTAAAGGGGTATCTAATTAAATTTTCCTGAGTCTCATGGAAGTAAATTATTTTATACCCTCTGCTTTAATTTTTTTTCACAATTTAATTTAAGGGGTATTGAATAAAGAGAACATATTCAATATGTCATATTTTGGCAAATGTCAACCAGAACTGGCTTGTTAAATACGGGTTATCTTCAACTTGTGCCAATTAATTAATTAAAAATGTTTTCTTAATGCTAAATTCAAATAAGTTCTTGGTTTTGATACAACTTCTGATTTTCTTCTGTTGCTCAGGTGATTTGAAATTATAATTGAGAATAAATTTTGCAAAATTAACACATAAAAGGGCATCATTGGAAATGTTTTCCACTGCATAATTCCGAATGCCGTGGAAGTGGTTGGCGTATTTGGATAGTCACGAAACTTAATTCCATACGTACATATTTCAAAATTATCCATCTGCTTAACACCAGGAAGGGTTGCAGTGGTAAGATCTTGGTGTACCCGACTGTGGAGAACTCGGTGTGGTAAAATTTGCAAAATCAAAATCGTTGTTTCTTAAAAACAATTAGTGGGATTAGAAAGTTCTTCCAAGCCTACAATATGGTACATCAGAACAAGAAAACAAGATAATTTATTCATGTCTCCCCATACTCCTAAGTGACCACCCGGGAGAAGACACACATAGAGGTAAGGAAC